CGACGCGCCTCCCGGAGCCCTGCGTCTGTGATCTGATCCGGCGATCCAAGCCCGGCGAGCCTGACAGCATTGTTAATGCGATCCGATTGCGAGCCCAACGTTCCGTTCGTGATCCAATCCAGCTCGTGTGATTGTGTACGGCCATCCGGAAGATCAGCCAGATCGCCAAAAATTTGAAGCCGTAAGTTCTCTACGTCAAACCTTTAGATTCGTTGCGCATAGATTTACGTTTGCTATTGAATTCGTGATTTGTACATAACGAGATCCTCATAGATACCAACAACGAAGTGTTGTTTTCATTAAACTTATATGTTTTTAGTGTGTGTTTGTGGTTGAACTATGAATAGACTTAGACCCTTGTATTTTGGAAATTATTTCCTCATTTGCAAAATTTTCCTTTAAGTTTTTCTTTCTCTTTCTATTCCTTTTTCTCTCTCTATTGACTCCAAGACCCAATATTTATTGTAACATTTATCTGTCAAGATTATAAGTTTTCAGTTTATTTATTCTCATGGATGCTACTAGAGATTTGGAGACATAGTTAAGGTCCAAGATCTCGTAAGTTTTTCTTGTCTTTACTTGTTGGATTTTCTAGGATAAAGATAGGATCTTTCATTAGTAGAGTATGTTATCATCCTCGTAGGCTAGGAAATATGTGATTTCATTGTTGATTTGTGTGAGCAAGATTTGATTAAGAGCTTGATTAGTTCATTCACAAGTGACGATTGCTTGATTATGTGTTTTCGAACTTATGAGTGTCTTCTTTCCATCTAAGAGAAAAAGTCAATGAGGTAGATCGAGCTAAGTCATCCGATATAAGAGGTATAGACGGACGAGATCAAAAATGAGGTAGATGAACAGGTGGTCGAGCATGATCGTACGATGCAGGTTAATACGAACGGGCAAGATTGAATGGCCAGTAGGTGAAGGGGTGGTCGAGCACGACTGCTCGATACAGGTTAACATAAATGCTTGCGATTCAAAAAAAAAAGTTAAGAAAATCCATTAACTTGAACTGTTTGATTGAGTTGGAGTTAGACGAGCTAGATGGATGCGACATTAATAGATCCGTCGATTCAATATGTGATGAACCGTTTCTAGATTAGACGCGTCGATTCAATATGGGACACGTTGAGTGACATGTGTCAGATAATTTGAAAAGGTGTTAGAAGATTTAGGCGGGATCATTTTTCAATTTTAAAATTAAAACCTTGTCCATAGGTCGAGTCGTTCATCTTGTCCAGAGATAATGGAGAAGCGGCTCGATAGATAGAGCAACTCGTGGTTAGACAAATAGTTGAAGATATATGATCCTACTTATAGATCGAATCATCCTGACCCGACCAGGGTGGAGAGGACCAGATGATATGGAATATTATGCCAACAACTAGGTCGTATGCGACCTAAGAGAAGCTCGAGCGGTTCGAGTAGACCAACAGTTAGGTTGGAGGTCAGACAACATGAAGACCTGCGGTCGAGAGAGCAGCAGGTCGATGAGGGCCTCCGAGGCAAAGCAGTTTAGTAGCAAATCGAGCTAGGCCTCTAGGATAGACTAATGGAACTCGACCTAAAAGTATAGAGGTCGATGTTAGACCTAATAGTTCATCATTGCCTAGAACCATTACCTAATGAGGTAGACTAATGTGGACACACTAGATAAACATATAAGTACGTATATAATTAGGATAAAAAGGACATGTGTGTAACAGAATTGGGCAGCCCGGGAACTCAGGCAGTGTGATATGGTAGTTCGGGCTCTCGGGTAGCCAGATCGAGTAGATCTTGGACAACAAGGTAACATCCATGTATAAAGGAGTGAAGTATGATAATCATCTCTCTACACACTTACATACATTATATACATATTCACATTCAAATATTGATTTAAGTATCAGTACTACTGCGTCGGGATAACCCTCAACGATGTTTTTCAAGTGATTTCATCAGTCAAGACCGGATCGCAGAATGTCAAACCATATCGATCTCGTTTACACTACAAACTTGATTATGTATGTATATAGTGGGATGAAGATATGCATGTATGTGAAACCTTATTTGTAAAAAAACCACATGGCATGCCACATGTGGCGTTCCAATCCTAACCATCACCATTTAATGAGCTGGTACACTCTTTTGTCTGTGTGGAAGGATCGTGGCGCTGGGATATGTTCGCCCATCTAATGCCGGCGAGTATGCTATTGCAGATTGCGGCAACACTGGTGCCAAGTGATGTTCTGGGAGATGACCAAATGTACTGGGGTAATTCGTCCTCAGGAAAATTTTCTACAGCGGCGGCATATATCTTTCGGGGGAAGTCGCAGCAAGTAGACGACGATTGTGGAGAGCAATTTGGCGTTGGTCCGGCCCCCAGAAAATCAGGCAATTTTTATGGCTGCTCGCTAAAGATCGTCTGCTAACTAATGTGGAAAGAGGTAGACGGCATTTGACAAGTAATTTGTCCTGTGAGATATGTGGCCACTACGAGGAATCAACGTTGCATGTCGTCAGAGATTGTCCCTTGGCCTCGGAACTATGGCGCCGTCTTCTCCCAGGTAATTATCATGCTAAAATTTTTTCGGCAAAGCTTGAAACTTAGTTATGGTCAAATGTTGTAAATTCCTCGAGTATCGTCATTGCAAATTGAAAATGTATTTTTGGTGTCTCTATTTGGAAGCTCTGGAAATGGCGGAATGAGCACATCTTCCAAAGGAAAAAAACAGGCTGTAGTAGGGGGATGCATGAAGTAGGCAGGTTTGTGGAGGGCTTACTCGGGATTTTGGAGGGTGATAGGAAGCTTGGAGGAACTGGGCGGCTGAGAGTTCCTCGTATGATTAGATGGGAAATGCCCCCGCTGGGGTGGGTCAAACTCAATTCAGATGGCTCGTTCAACAATACCTCGGGAATTGGATGCGCAGGGGAACTTGTTCGAGATGAGCAGGGATACTAGTTGGGTGGTGTAATGAAAATCAGGTTTTGCTCAATCACAGCAGCGAAATTATGGGGTTTATTTCAAGGGCTCAAGTTGGCATGGGATCTAGGGTACAGACAGGTGGAAGCCGAAGTTGATAATGAGAGTGTGGTGAACTTCTCAAACTCGGTGGATAATGTGTTGGGCGTTCACGCGGGTCATATCTTGGGTATTAGAGAGCTTCTCAGTCGATCATGGTTGGTCAAGGTGAAGCATGTTTTCCGTGAGGCGAATTTTGCAGCCGATCATTTAGCTTCCTTCGCAGCGGATGGGTCTTTGGGGTGTCACTTCTTTAACGTTCCACCAGACAGTGTGCGTCCGTGGCTAGAACATGATCTCATTGTTGTTACCTACTCACGGAACGTGTGTAATTTGATCTCTTAAGGCTTTTTAGCCCCTTTTATTGTAACAAAAAAATGTAAGACTTTTTTTTTGTCTTATTCAAAAAGGCTAAATTAACTCCTAAGAAAAAGATCCATTTTTAAACGACGTGCTTGAAATATAATTGGTTCGAACTCTAGACATTAATTGATCCTTTGAACTTTTCTCTCAAAGACTCAATCCTACATATATTAAATTGTCTTTACGATTCGTCATTGCCGTGAAGAGATCCTGCGTGAAGCATTATTTTTTTTTTTTTTTTTTATTCATTACTTAGTATATTCACATTTATATAAAAAGTAATATAGCTTCAGATCGGTTGAGTGATTTACTGAATGAAGGGTAAGCAGCTCGGTTCACGTTAGATACAACTCAGATAATAAGATAGCAATTACTTGGATTAAATCATAGCAACTATATATATTTTGGCACGATTTATTTATCTACATACATCAGAGGAAGAAAATGAGTAATTATAGTTATTGCAATTTGCACGAGTTTTATTAAGTAATTATATAGGGTTCCGAACCATTATCGAATCGGTACGGAAGTCGATTTACCGTTACACATAAGTCGGTTCGGTACTTCGGTTCGGTTTGGTTTATTTTCTCATCGGTCAGATTCGGTTCTCGATTTTCAGGACAATAAAAGAGAGTTGAAGTCTTTTTATACAGCCAAATTAAAATTGTAGAATGATACAAGTCAGTGTAGCTGTTCTTCCTCGACTTTTCCCAATTTATTATTTTATTTTGTAGTCGTGGCGGTTACGTTTGAAGGTCAGCTTCTTTTTTGGAAATCCGAGAAAGTGATTATGTGGAACTTACGTGAGAAAAAAGAAACTTCCATAACTATAAACTAAGGAGTTTTTGTACTCTTTTGGCTAGTGTTGAAAGAAATTCATATATATAAGACACAGGCGACAACTAACCAATAAGCTGGAGTAGCTCAGTTGGTTAGAGCGTGTGGCTGTTAACCACAAGGTCGAAGGTTCAAGCCCTTCCTCTAGCGATTTCTCCTTTTTCGGCCATTTTTTTCGCTTTTCCTTTTTTCCCAAATTGAGTCGTTTAGCAATCAATTATTGTAAATGAAAGAAAAAAATGATTTTTTTCTTCTCAATTTTCACCTTTACAGCCATCTTTAAAATAGTTTATAAAAAAAGGAACACATTGTTCTTGCCAGCTATAGATATAGAAAATGAGATACCCGCGAGCTGAGTTCGATTCAGCTCGTTGAAATTCAGATTTGGCTCAGTTATTTTGTAGCGTATCTTGAGCACGAGTAACACTCATTTAATTAATGAGTCGATTCAAGTCGAGCTTCACTAGCCAGAGATTCAATAAACTCTAGAAGTACTGAGGACGAATAACATGATGGCAAAACAGGTGTAGCACAAAATAAAATTGAGCCATTGCAGTTAATTTTAACCACCTTGCACTTAATTGTGTGAATTGTTTACAGAGATCTGTTCGCAAACTTTACAGTCATCTCCCCTCAAAATATGCAAAGCACTGTTTACCCTTTCTGTTTTCAAATTGAAAGGATTGAAGAGCTATACATGTCATAAAAAAAACAATGCGGAATTAGGATTGCATAAATAATATGAAAGCCCATACAAAGGGCAAAATGGTAAGAACACATGTGATGCATCCCCTCATTCAATCGGCGATAGAAAGGCTGTGTAAGAACCATCGCCATACTTCAGTCCTTTCAAGAAGGCCGAGTGTCTTTGGAGGGAGAGAGTTGTATTTGGAATGCTAAAAGAACTAGCATTTTCTTGCAATTGTTCGTTTGCTGTAGCTAGGTGAGAAGATTGATCCTTGGTTATTACGTCTAGACCAACATTCAAGCCAGTTGAAGTAGGCTCGGTTGAAAAACTGCAAATAAATAAATAAATAAAACGAATAAACTAGTAAGCGTAAAACCATATAAGTAGCAATTGGTTCTCAGGCAGCTGAAAATCGTACTCATTTGCATAGAACTTTGACATGGTCTTTCTGTAACATGCCTATTTCATCAGTAGAGTACAACATTTTAAGCAATAATGAGAATTTGGTGTACCTGGCTTGAAAGTCACCTCCATTACATTTCATAGCATTGCAAATGCCAGATATTACCCATGGGGGAAGATATGTGTCCTTAATTTCAACACTATAGCAGATCCCAGCACTCGAACTTTTAGGTTCACTGTCCTTGTTAGAGTCCTTGAGCTGGGACGACAAGTAATCAACCCGCCTTACCTGTTTGCATCGAACCTGCATAAACAAAATGAGCCGATTATGATTTAGTGCACCAGAAAAAGAGAATTGTTGGGGATGTGAATCTAGAAATTCTTGGCATATTAATCTAATATTAACCTTACACTTCGCTTTTCAATTTCCTGTACTAGTAACATTTGATGATAGGAAAACCCGTGAATAGGCTGATCACAAACTTAATAGTTCACATCCGATATTATTTTAACAATCTCCAAATATGCCGCTATTTATCAAGCCATGTTATGTATTTCAATACAAACACTTTTAGTAGCAGCCACAATTCAGCATTTCCAATTGCTTTTATTTATACATGACGCGGGTTACTTTCTTGACGAACATCTGCCTGTGCTACTTCGCAAAAACTACATAATATTAGGCCAACCTCGGGAGTCGAAAGAGAAGCATTCTCAAAAGGAACTGGTGAATATAGCACGGGAACATCACCACCAGTCAAACAAGCTAAGAAATATCTGAAAGAAAAAGAATATAAAAAATTCAGATAAAAGACGAAGACAAATAGTGAATGTTGATTAGAAAATTTTCAACATCTTGGAAAAAAAGGCTACATAAAACAAGCAAATGCTGTACAGCGACCTGTAATTCAATAGAAAATCATACAACGCGTGTACATTCTTGTTCCCAGTAAACATCAATAAGGATTGTGAAGTGTTATCAACGCCAATCAAAGACTCCATAGCTCGAGTCTGTGACATTCAGATGAATCAAAGATTAGCCAATGACCTTGAGTATACCGCAGCATAATGAGAAAGACGTCTTTAGGAAAGAACAAAAGCAACATCCATGAAATGAGAAATTTTATAACCGCTTCGGTAGGTAGCTCTAAAATAATTAAACACTTAGGAAATGTAAAGTTAACATCCTAGAAGAGTAGCTAATAAATTTAAGCAAAAAAATGCTTAGCATTTTTATCGCTCAAGATACCAGATACTTTATCATATTAACCCCATAGCTGCTATTCCAAAAGATATAATTGACATGAATGGAGAAAGTTCCAAACCTGGCCAAGATTGTGTTTTTCGATATGGGAAAGTTCAACAATGTCTTCTGCAGTAACTTCTTCAACTTTAGAGGAACAAAGAGGCATTGAGAAAGAAACGTCCTGAACCAGAATTAATAATTTTATGTGTCAATTAACAGAAGAAGTGTAAAGGGAACAGTAGTAACAGATAAGAAGATTCAAGTGGCTGGAAAAATGAAATCAAATTAAATGGACTCATCTTTGAGGATAAATACGTGACTTACGTGTGCTTTTAGAAGTGACCTTAAATTTCTCGTTGACTGGGATACATAAGCATGGAAAGAACACTTGGTTTTGCTTGCACCATCATATGCAGTGAACATAACTACAAACTGAGGACTGCACACTGCAAATGTTTTTGGAAAAGAGGGAAAAAAAAAAAGGAATATTACACCCAGCATGAACAAATTAATTTTAACCATGTGTCTTTATGAATACAAAGGAAATAAAATAACAGACCAATATGAGGTATTTAGGAACAATAGACCATGATTCAATAGACTGGTGTCATATTATAGGAAGAACAAATGAAGATAACCAATGTGAGGTATTCAGGGCTCACGTTTTAACTGTTGGCAGATGGACCAGTAACTATTTGCAATTAGACTGCAGCCAATTTCAAAATTGTCCAAAGCAAGACAGGTCCATCAGCCAACAGTTAAAGCTTGAGCCCTAGTATCCTTACTTGAGCACGTACAATTTTCTTTAAGGATTATAATGGCATTTAAGGATCATGAATATATATTCACGAAGAATCATTTAAAACGGGGACTTGAGGTCAGGAATTCAGATAGAGAAGTCAGTGGCAAATAGAAGTATAAACAGTGCATATTGCCTACAGAAATGAGACTGTTGCAAACATGAAAATAGTATCACAATCTTGATTTTAGTTAAAAGATGCAAAGGGAGGACCAGCCAGCATTATCGGCATGCTTGAAAGAAAGCTATAAGTTTATCCACAAGATGCAGCACTAGAGTTGCAACAAAATACAGATGTTAAAGGTAAGAGTCATACGGATGGATGTTCATAATATAATTGCTAATTTACAAGAGATTAATGAATAAAAATTATTTAGCATGGAGATAGCACAACCCCATTAACTCATCACTGATTCGACTGAATAGTAAATGGAAAAAGTTAATTAGTCATTACCATAAAAAATTTTACAAATTCTCTTCCTCAGCATGTAATAAAGACTTCGAAATGAATCCTCCCATGCTTGCTGCCTTTTACTTAGGAAGTCTGTTTGCGCTTGATCAATGATAAGCACTATTAAAACGGAGAGAAGTGGCGAGAAAGAAGTATGATGACAGATGGCAATATAAGAAGGTGGGAGAATTTCAAAAAATACCACCTGGTGCAGATGCCAATGCTGATATTGCTGCTAGAGGTAGAATAGATTGAGGATACATCCAAGAATGTGATTGGCTTGTGGAGGTAGGTTTTGATGAGCAGGTGACACCTTGAATGTGGTAACCAGCATGTGACAAAAAGTCCGTACTGTTTGAGGTGGCACAATTTATTAACCTATGAAGCCTGTAAACCATGAAATGAAGAATATTAAACTGACCACGAGAGTTGATGTCCAGGTAAATATGAGAGTGGTAGTAAACAAACGAAACAATCTTGTATTGAATTAAGTTCCTACAATAAGTGCATTAAGTGATTGAAATCCAGTCACCAAACTGAAATTCCCAATTAAATATATTATGTCGCAGGACCACAGTGGTCATGAATCATGATGAGAGCATGCTTTAGAAAAGTTTCATAAATTCTTCTCCTCAAATCAAAATCCTATCCTTCTTCTGCAAAGCACATTAGTGTCCAAATAATATCGTTGTAAACCTTATTCATTCTCAGCACGGGATGCACTCAAATTTTCAAAGAGGGTGCAAATATGAATAAATGGAAAAAATGATGGATTATCCTGCTCGGTAATAGTTTCTATGAATGCCTATTTTTCCAAAAAAAAAAAAATAAAAAGTTAACAAAAAGTGATTAAAAATAAAAATGATCAAAAGGAAAGAATCCAACTATACATCGTCCAAACAAATTTATGAGACTTGGGTGCCAGGATGAGCATGCTGCACATCATAAAATTATAAAATTACTGCCCACCATAGAATTATGTAACGGAACAATCATAGATGTAACAAAACAGTACCACAAAGGACAAGTCTTTAATTTGCTCAATATACCTCGACAAATTGTAGATTATTTTTTAACATGTACACTTTGTGATTTATCAATGAGATTTCAACATCTAGATGTTGTTAATACAGAACACTACCAAGATCAAGAAATAACTTACCAACTGACAGAGGATGAAGACTGCAACCTCATGGAAGTTTTGAGGGTTAAATCAAGTGGAATCTTGTGACCAGGTACATGGATTTCTGAACAAAAGCTACGAGACACAATATTTCCTGCTGCATCTATAGACTCAGGAAGTGGAACTGAAGGAACACGAGATTCACATGAAAAAAGTCCTTTCAAAGCTTTACCCTGAAGATAAAGAACCAAACTTTACACTCTAACCTCAACATACTTCGTTAAGTTCAAGATAAAATTCTAGTGGAAAAATACCATATCTACAGATGAGGAGCCATTTAAGTTTTCACCACCCTGTGATAGCTCTTTAACACTCTTAAAGGTATGGTGAACGCATTTTTCGGTCGAGTTGATATGATTGGAAGAGTCGGTTACACCTCCTGATGCCGTACTATCCACATTTGAAGGGCATACATAAAACAAAATTATCTAAGTTAGAAACTTTTAAAACATAGTCAAACCTAGAGAACTCCTGAAATCAATTATACCACATGTTCTGCCCTTGTTTGCTATTTAATTCCATGGGAAAACTGGAATCTTTCAGGGTGAAACACTTGCTTGGAAGATAATCCTGCCAAATATCCATTACATAATACAAAATATCTTAAAACAATCACTGAAAGTTGAACCCAGCATTCTTAAAATGAAGACACAAATAGAACGATGTGCAAATTAGGCCTAAAAAAAGTTTAACCTTAGATGTGCCCTTTCTGGAAAGCAGCCTACTGATTTTAGTTGCTGGGAAATGTTCATCCATTCGTGTAAATCGTGGTGCTTTCGATGAATCTGATTTACTGGGTCCAGAAGCTGCTCCATCTACATTTCTAAACAAACCAATGGATTTAGGGCAAAGTATATCCCAAAGTTATTCAAGAAATGTATGGGGAAAAAGTTCTACCTCATGAAATTAGGAAGAGACGGAGATTCATGAGCAGACTCCACCGGATTCTTAAGCTTCAATAGTTCTCCCTACCAAATAAGCAAAATATCACCACTCTGATACAGATAATCCCTATTCCAGTTTCTTTGATTTTAGGAAATCATGTAAGGTCATTATTTGATATTGCAAGAATTCATGTAATTTTTTAGAGGAAGGAAAAAAGGAGAAAATATATATTAACAGTACTCATTATGAACCAATGCCTCAAAAATATCTCTAGCTGTAGAATGATTTCCCAGCCAAATTCAGGTTACTGGCGGTGGCATGAAATGGTGACCTTTTTCATTTCAAAATTGTGGACAGCCCTTTGGCTCTATTAGATTCTAAAGCCTATATAAACCCTTTAGCAGCACAAATTAACCCATTTTGCCACATTTCAAGGCAGATAATAAAGGCAGCAACTTTAAATCAACTACTGGATTCATTTCTCATACAAAAACCCATCTCTCAGGTTTCGGAGTACCCTTGGGTCTAAGTTACATCTTCCATTGCTGTACATAACCCACAACGCAACTGCCACCACCAACATTCAGGTATCTAACAGAAAACAAAGCAGTTCAAAAGAACAGCAAGATCTATGGCTGGAATGCGTTACCCGCAACTCAGACGGAGTTTTCCTCTTCAACGCGGTGGTTGAGATCTTCGAGACCCCACCTCCGCCAGCCCCGCCGCCAAAATGAAGAGCATTAGACGCAGGCAACTGAGCGGCCGCAGCAACCTTCGTCATCTCGCGCAACCGAAAGCGTGCACCAGTAACTGCAAACTATACGTATATACCCCCATTAAATTACAGAGAAATAGCTCAAATCAGTAGAAAATCAATGTAAATATAACCTGGATGACTGAACACGGGAACGAAATCAACTAGGGTTTCGAAATTCGCTACATTTCCTTCCGATTTTTACCTGGATTTTGCGGAGCGTGTCGAAACTTGTCGCTGCTTTGAGTGGGGGAAAATGGAAAGGTGGGAGAAAGCGGGAATTGAGGCTCAATTACAAAATGTCGAGTGAGTGCGTGTTGGATTTGGAATTCATTTTGAATAATTTGGGTTCCCTCGTCTGTGCAAAGGGCCGTTAGTCGCGCCGTTATTAATAATGACGGACCTGACGGTCGGTTTAGCATTGATTGTTGACACTTCGTGAATCGGGACGATGGGTGGGCCGGGCGGGTAAAAAACGTATAGTTAATTAATATTCCCTCTTATTTTTTTTAAATGTCATTCTAGCATTTTCAACTATTTGTCAAATAAATGTCGTTTTGGATATATTGTACATATTTTTCCACTATTACTCTTATTTAGCCAATAAATACATTACGTCTTTTCATATTTACTCTTCCCTTTTTCTCAAAACATTTATCTCTATCTTCATTAAATAAAGTTATTATTGACAAAAAAAAAAATATTCTTAATTAGTGTGCAACTTTTCAAAACGACATATATTAAAAATAGGAGTTAGTATTTATTTGCAAAGATATAAAATCACTCCAACATAATTACATATATCTAGAATTCAAATTTTGATAACTTATCCTTTAACCAAGGAAGGAAGATCACACCTTTAATTAAATAAGGAATACCACACGGGATTTTATTCTGCTCCATATTATAATCCCCAACGCAAACCTCGAAAAATAAAAAACTCTATTCTCAGTCATCTGAGGTAGGCGCAGTGTCGTTCAACCGCGACGGCTGGGGCCTGCCGGAATCCGCCTCTGTCATGCTCTCCGTCCCCAACCACCCCTCTAACGTCCCCTTCGCACCCTTCTCTCACTCTGAGAAGCTAGGTCGGATCGCCGACTGGACTAGAAACCTCAACAACCAGGCCCGACCGGGATCCAAGCATGGTGGAGGCTACCACCCATCCGACTTCGCATTCGATTCATCCAGCGATGACTCGTTCACCAGCCTCACCGCCAACGAGGATGCCTCATTCCGCCTCGTCAACACCTCGTCCAAATCGCACCACTACAACCCCAACCGCCCCAAGTTCAACCCCCACCATGCCCGATCCCTGCTCCTACAACGCCGTGACGAGGAGGTCGAGGCCCGCAAGCACGAGGCCGAGAAGGAGCACGCATACCGTGACTACCGCTCTCATAGGCCCCTGCACCGTGAGTCGTCGATTTTTAAGTTGTGGATTAATTGGGGGCTTGAAGTGCAAGTACCAGAATTTGGTTTTCCTGAAAATTGAATTTTTGTTTTGCGGGAACTTGAGTCGGAGGAAGACGATGGGCTCCGGGGGGTTTCGACAGGGGAGTTCTTCGCAGCGTTCGTCGAGGTTTGCCGGCGGGCCTGCCTCCTGCACGTTGAGTATATAAATAATATATTTTTCAGTTTATAGACATTTTTACGTCGGGATCATTTACAGTTTGCTCAGGCAGCACATATATGTTGAGTATATGTACAATATATCTACACTATATGTACAATTTATTAGAAGGTTTTTTGTTAAACTTTTCAGTATATATTGTGTATAAGAGTATATGTTCAGTATATTAGAAATTTTTTTGTAAACTATTCAGTATATATTGTATGTATAAGGAGTATATGTGTAGTATATGTTCAGCATATTAAAAGATTTTTTTGTATAGAAATATATGTAACATGTTTTAATATGTTTTTAAACTACATATATACTTCCATGTATAAAAGTAAAAAAAAAAAAAAAAAAAAAAAAAAAAAAAAAAGACATAATTTTTTTATGGAATACATGTTTTTCATTGCAACATGTATTGAATATATGATAACATAAACGCAAGATATACCATCTGACGGATGCACAATTTACAATACACATTTTTATTTCTCTCTATTAAAAAATGCACACGCGAATTAAAGAATTAAATGAGTCATTTATTATTTTTCATTTCTCTCTCTTAATCAAGCTCATAAAAAGGGGAATGTATATTGAATAGATATGGTAACTGACTTTAGGCATTAACATAGTTATTTATTTCATATTAGGTAGATATGTAAGAGCATCTACAATGCATTTGGTCTAGTCTTGCCTATGTGGCATGTAAATAAACCTAAGTCTTGGATGACATGGATAAAAGTATGTAAAATAAATAAAACTTACTCCAATGCAAAGTGATTAGGTCTCTACTTGGGTCTAAAATAAATTTAAGGGTAAACCGAGTCTCTTTTTCTGGCTGTCACGTCAGCAGGACCCAGTCTACTTTTGTTTGCACTGGAGAATACATTTTTGTAGACTAGGTCTATTTCTTATGTGTCATACATTTTTTTTGTGATTGAACCCAAAGCATTGTGGATGCTCTAATTATTTGTGTATGGATTGTATTTTTTCAATATTTTCAGAATCTTGTAGGATAGATGAAAATTTCCATTACTTTCTATCATGGATTTTTCATGTAAAGGAGCATATATAATTTATGGATTGTATTTTTTAATATTAAAAAAAAAAAAGAAAAACTAATCTATATTTTTATTTGTATTACCCAAAATAGTTGAACATAAAGTCCACAAATATTGAATGTATACTAATTTGGAAAAGTTAGCAAACACGTTTAAAATCTATATATATAATTTTAGACTATCAAATTAATACAAATGACATAATTTTCCGAAATTGTCAATTAATTATTATAAAACCTTTACATTTTATATTAATTAAATATAATCATATTTATTACTTATTCTATCATTCAATAGTTATTACTAAAGTCAAATAATTATAATTTATACTAAATAGTGTATGTAAGTTACATAATAATAAAAAAATATATTGCATTGCTATTTATTCTGAAGTAATATTAGTTTTTTTGATCATACAATTAATTTTATGGCATGGAAAATCTCTTACAAAATTTCAAAAATAGTAATAATAATAATAATAAATATTATCGTTTTAATATTTTTCTAGTTAATTAATTGGATGTGATCTCTCAAATGAACAAAAATACATTTTGTATTACACTTTATGCCTTCAGTGTATAGATTCATGTTTAGTTAAATAATATTTATTTATATTATTCATTTATTAATTATAAAGTTATAAAATGATATATATACATTATCTATTTATAATTTAAATATTATAATAAGACTTTATAATTTATATTGTCCATGTGCACAAAATCAAATACAAGTATAAATTTTGAAATGTCGTTTATTTATGTGGACTCTTTCAGTCAAGTACTAGTAAAAATTTTGTTGTATGGATGACATCGATTTCATGAAAGTATTAGTGTGGCAATCGCGTATAAAGAGTACAAAGATAATGATCGTATTAAAGAAGCAAGAGTGCATTTTATAAGATTAACAATATGAACATGTGTAAATAAAAGTATTAGTGTGGCAATCGCGTATAAAGAGTACAAAGATAATGATCGTATTAAAGAAGCAAGAGTACATTTTTATAAGATTAACAATATGAACATGTGTAACGTTGTTGACCTATAAATTAGAATTAAAAAAAAAAATGCTAATCTAGATAGTCATGAATGAGAAGACCTCCTTTGTTGTTTGATGATGTTGTTGATATCGATTGGCCTAATCACCTATATGTATAAAAAGTTGAGAGGCATGTCGTTCTCGCACGGGAAGATATTGTGCTGAAAGTCTAGTGGGGCATATTTGCACAGATCAACCCTTTTTCGTTCTCGTACGACAGTAATGATAACTAACAAGTAATTTGTCGAACAACAATGTAAAGTGTTATCTTAAAAATTATTGATAATGTGTATTATTATAAATAATAATAATAATGATACATCAATCGTGTTGGGCTATTATATAAATTATTAGATCATAAAGAAAATTTAAAATAATTATAATATACAACATTATATATAAAGAATTCAAATAATTTTAGCGTAATTTAAAATTAGTAAAGTTTATAACTTTAACAATATATTGTTATAAACTATATTAAGAGAGAGAGAGATTTGTAGGTTTTATTTATTGATAATTTTTTTAATATGTTCAATTTTCATGTTCACTATTACAACACCCGTGTATTACACGGGTGCTTGTCAAAAAATTATTCTTAAATTTTAAAATTAATGAGAAAACTATATTAAATTTAATTTACTTTTTTACCAAAAAAATATATTACTATAGATTTTAAAATGATATGTGTTACTTATGACTTACATGTGTTATATTATATTAGTTTTTATAATTTATATCATATAACTACTTGAAATATAAATATATAAGTTGATAAATAATTTTCTTTTTCTAATTAATATAAAAAATAATTTTATTATTGCTATAAAGATAAATATAAATTATTTTTTTATACATACAATATGGATATTAAACCGAAGCTCATCAAAAGAAGATTAATTTGATATATTACATATGTAAAACTGATGAAAAATACAAAAGTTATTAACTTTTAAAATATATATACAATTCAATAGTTATAATAAGGAATTATATTAAAATGCAATTAATACATGTAACATGACCATAAATAATCAACATATTTATGGTAATCCGAACTTAATTATTTTTTGTTTAGAATTAAATTAAAAATACCCAAGCTTAATAACGAAGCATGTAATTTTGCCACATATGATTTCGAAGCACCAGAAGCAGTCACGTAGGCTCAGCGCGTTATGGATTAATATATTAGGGGGATTACTTCTAAATAGAAACTCTAAAAAGACAACTATTTTATAATGAGTGAAATAAATATAAAAATTATATCCCTCCTATATATAATTTTGAATGCGCTGAGCCTACGTGGCTGCTTCTGGTGCTTCGGAATCCTACTTGGCGAAGAATCATGCTTCGTAATTAGGGTTGGACAAATAATATTGATATATTAATAATTAATAATCTAGGTTCAGACATTCCATATATATTATTTAGCTAACTTAGGTATTTTAATATCACTTATACTAATATAACCCTTTAATTCTTTGTAATTTTACATAGTGAGACACTAAGTGACTAATATATCCCTAACTTTTGATTTGTTTCCTTCAATTAGCCATTGAATTATAAATGTATTTTAAAAGTTATAAATTTTGTATTTTTTTATCGGTTTTACATATATAATATATCAAATTAATCATCTTTTCATGATCTTCGATTTGACATCCATATCGTATATATAAAATAAATAAATTATATTTATCTTTATAATAAT